AGCGGATTGGCTCTTGCAAGCGTTATTAATTCATCGGTTTATCATTTATAGGTTCTCGGAAATTGTACGGAACATGGTCGAGCTTATCGACAACGTCGATAGATTAACTTTAGATTCATCTTGACGTAATCAAAATAATAAAAGTCGATAGATACATATTTAATTATAAATATGCGTAATTATAATTGTAAAATTGTTTTTAGTATCTCGGATTAATTAGCTTAAGCGAAAAAGTCTGGGATTTTTGGTACTTTTCGGTAAATTCGTCGTATACATACGAATATACGATCGTGAGTGCACGAGCTGGCAAGAGTGACGCATTATACGTACGGGAGTGGCACTAGGTTTATGATTCCGTGCCTAAATTTACGCACGACAGAACGTGCACGCAGCCTTACAAGATTCTCTATATATCCGGAATTCTGAATAAGTGCTGCGCGGTCGCTTACGTACATTGAACAAGAGCCAGAGCGATTCTCCCGAAAGCACGCACGAAGGTGCGAAAATGTGCGATAATATTTGCGGAAGCGTGTTTTCTAGAATTATGACGAATATTATTTGCGCGAAGAATTCAGTGTCCGTCAGGATGCTTCTTGTGCAAAGAAAATCACATCTCATATTTTGTTATATTTTTTTATCTTTATTTGCACGCGCTTAAACGATAGCAATAAATAGTGATAAATTTTTCAATTTAAAAATTGGAGAAGAGTATTGAAGAAAATTGAAACGATAATTGCATTGATAAATACCAAACTCACCAACATTTTTAAAAATTTATTTTCAGATTTTATTTGGAAAAATTTTACGCCCGAAAATAACCGCAGTCATAACGCAATAAAATATCTTTGTAACTCGTGTTACATTTTATATGTCACATTTTTATTATATCCGTGAAACGTTATACTTTTGGTCCAGTTGGCTTTCTCCGAATTAATGACCGTTGACAGGACAGTTTAAAACGTTACTATGATTCCTTTATGACCAGTTACACGCCTCGTGTGCTGATTCCACACTAATTCATTCCGAACGTCGCTCGGGAATGAATCAGAGCAGATGCATCACTGTCTCGCGACTCTCAGCGATTAGTCATTATTACCGGTTTCGAGCGTGGCGAGTCTTCAATCGAAAGAACGGACCCGCTCTCCGAGGATCACAAAACAGTGGGAGGATCGTAAATGGTTTTAAGGCGTCTGCAGCGGAGAAATTTGAAGAAAAGAATTCGCGCGGTTGAATAATTGCAGCCATACAAAGACCGACGAACGAAATTTCATAAACGTCGCGCCGTGGACTTACAGTCTTGTCATTTATCGGTGCCTCTTCCAATGCTACCTTGCCATCTGGCTGCAGCCAGATTCTGCCAAAAGCACGGCTGTGAGTCACGCCGTGCGGTTAGGTTTCTGGTAGTCAGATTTATCCGAGTTTATATAGGGTGTCGCGGAAAAAGAAACAATATAAAATCACTCCTTTCTTTTGCACTTAGAATATTGCGAATGATAGATTTATACTTAGATTTCTTCGTGAAAGAAAAAGGGACAAAGTAAAGTGTGAAAAATGTAAGTGAAACGATCCATCGAGATTTCTAACACACTTGATTGTAAGATCGATCTCATATAGATTTATTACAATTAAAATATTGCTAAATTTAAAAAAAAATGAGAAAAATAAAATATCTAAGTTGAATTTTTTTACTTTAAGATTAATTAAGCAATTGTGAATTATTGACAAACAATTTTTAATGGAAACAATTGTCTTGCATTTCTAAAAAGGTGAGTTAAAATATTATACTGAATCGTTTAATCGGTGGTTTGCATATTTTGCATATGAAAAAATCTAACAATTTACGATGGATCGTTGTAGCACATCCTTTCATCATCAATTTCATGTCGCGCTTGAATTGCGACGGGAGAACATTTTGCTTCCGACGTTTGTTCCGTCTTTTCTTTTTCCGTTACACAAAGTGACATCAGGAAACTTCTCTCATGCATTATGCATTGCCGGTCGAGAGTCCTTTGCAACTAATAGCTAATCCCCAACATACGCCTTTCCATTCGAGCGGGCGTCGTGACGAGGAACTGTATCTTCCACGATTTAATCTAGACAGTGGATCTTTCCGCGCGAACAGTCGCTTTCGATCTACGCGAGCATGCAAAACGGCCGGCCGGCCGGCCGTTTTTTTCGTAACTCGGGCTCGAATCCACCGAGCGATCGCTCGCGGCAACAAACGTTGAAAATAACTGTAAGCCACGGAGAATGGTCCGAGAAATCTTTGCGATGCTTCTTCGACGGCTGTACGCGAAGATAAGGCGTCTTCCGCGGAAATCCGTCTCTAACAATGTAAGCAGTCGTTGAATCACCCATTCTAGGTCGTGAATAACTTAATGAAGAGAA